AGAGGCCTACGGGTCTTCGTGGCCATCGGATGAGGCTACACGGGTTGGGGATGCTGGATTCCAGGCAGCGCGAACATGCGGAAACTGGAAAAAAATTCAAACTCCTTGGAAAATTGTCATACATCTTGGCATAGTCAAAGCCCCTCGGAAACAACCTATTTTTGAAAGCACTGGAGTTTTCACAACCATCCCGGCAACGACATGGACCCTACTTAACAGCCAGACAATGTCCAACATGGCAAGGTGTCTCAACCCCGAGAATATCCAAGGTATGCACTGCTTCCTATTGGGAGAGAGTCTCGGCTTGTCATTTGGCGTAAACTCCAAGTTAAACTCCAAGTGCCCGACCATGGTGAAGCTCACTGAGCGAGGCTTCCACATCCAAATCAACATGTTGGGTATTCCGTCTGTTGTCGGCTTCTTTTCAGGTCATTGCGGTATACAGGGCTACAAGGAATGCAAATTTCGTTATATTTGTCTTTTACATTGTCGCTTTGTTGCTTCTCTCGTTGAAGGGCTCCCTGAGAAGAAAATGCCCGGATCAGAGGTTACATGATGGCCTCCGGCTCCAAGCCTTTGCTTGGGGCTTTGTTCTGGACAGTACGTCTTCGTCCCCTTAACTCTTCGCCATCGCCCATTTCGACTCATGTAATACTCGTACTATCGACACTTTTTTCAACCGACACGATTCCAGGTCTGTGTGAAGTAAGCAATAGTTAGTCAGTTGACAACCCCGGATATACGGCAAGCGTGGGAGGTTTCGATGCCCTGGAGTCGGGAGGTGGTGTTCGGGAAGGCGTCGACGGCCCGATGCATGAGACGGCGCTCAAGCTTATCGCCTAAAATTGGACGTAATGCCTATTAGACAGAAGCGAGGCGTGTATTGGTGGTTCTGTGCCTGTCGCCCAAGGGCCTTCCTTGTGCGGGGTAGCTGCTCGAAGGTGGGCAGTTGGTGGGGGGCCTATCAGAGCCTGCCCTTCTGGGAACTCACCCAAGGGCCCGGGTCTTATCAATCATTCCACTTGGCCGCCGGTCCAGGCCCGAGGGCGGCCACCAGCGCTTTTTTTTTTTTTCTTTCCTCTTTCTCCCGTCTGATTGACGGGCCTGGGCGCCCGGGCGCGGGCGCACACGCTGACTGCCGCTATCTCTGGCAGGTGGTGCTGGGGGACGGGAACTCTGGTCTGGTCTGGGGGGTGGGCGCCACATTACCGTCTTTAGCTGACTTGAGGAATTTAATCTCTTTCCGTCCTTCTCATCAACAACTTCCCCAGACTTTTGTTTGTTTTGCGTGTCATTGAGAGATTCTGGTTTGAAAGTCCCAGCTCGCCAGGATGCATCTCGTACCAAAAGAGGTCTGTACCCCAACTGTCTCTCTCGCGCGCTCTCTTACACATCCCTGTCGCCTTGGCGGGCCAGAGCAAACTGAACGGCACGTTAACGGGGGACGTCGTGATTGTAGCTCGATAAGCTCACCATTTCTCAATTGGGCTTCCTGGCCCAGCGCCGCCTTGCCCGGGGCGTCAAGCTTAACCACTCGGAAGCAACGGTACGAAAAGCCCTTCACGCGGTGATATCGCTGCCGTCCAATCTCGCGTGCGCTAACACCAACTGCAGGCTCTCATTGCGAACAACTTGCAAGAGCTCATCCGCGATGGCAACCATACCGTCGCCGACCTCATGAGCCTGGGTGCCACCATGTTGGGAAGACGTCACGTCCTCCCCGCTGTGTGTAGTACCCTCCATGAGATCCAAGTCGAGGGCACCTTTCCCTCAGGTACCTACCTCGTGACAGTCCACAGTCCCATCTCGACAGACGATGGTGACCTGGCCCGCGCCTTATACGGGAGCTTTCTCCCTATTCCTAGTAACGACCTCTTTGCCTTGCCCGAGGTGACAGTATATGAACCTAAGAAGCAACCCGGTGCTGTGGTTGTGGCCTCAAAACGAGTCACACTAAGCGAAGGCCGCAATCGCATCAGACTCAAGGTGACGAGTAGAGGTGACCGTCCCATCCAAGTCGGCTCACATTACCACTTCATCGAGACGAATCCCCAGCTTGAGTTTGACCGTGAAAAGTCGTATGGCTACCGCCTGGACATCCCGGCAGGCACCTCGGTGCGTTTCGAGCCTGGCGACGTCAAGACTGTGACGCTTGTCGAGATTGGAGGACACAAGGTCATCCGCGGCGGCAACAGACTTGCAACAGGAGGCGTCGAGCTTTGGAGGGCAAAGGAGATTGTCGAGAAGCTTCAGCTGGCCGGCTTCGCCCACGCCCCCGAGCCGGAGGCCATCCTCAACTTCACTGAGCTGTACCAGATGGAGCGCTCTGCCTATGCGACCATGTTCGGCCCCACGACTGACGACTTGGTGCGTCTCGGCAGCACCGACCTTTGGATCCGGGTTGAGAAGGACTTTACCGTGTATGGAGACGAGTGCAAGTTCGGCGGTGGTAAGACGCTGAGAGAAGGAATGGGCCAAGCGACGGGCCGCCCGGATTCGGAGTCATTGGACATGGTTGTGACCAACGCGCTCATCGTCGACTGGTCCGGCATTTACAAGGCGGACATCGGTGTCAAGAACGGCATGATCTCGGCCATCGGCAAGGCGGGCAACCCGGATGTCATGGACGGCGTGACGCCCGGCATGATCGTCGGCAGCTGTACGGACGTGGTGGCCGGCGAAGGCAAGATCATCACCGCCGGCGGCATCGACACCCACATCCACTTCATCTGCCCCCAGCAGGCAAACGAGGCTGTCGCGTCGGGCATCACGACGATGCTCGGCGGAGGCACCGGCCCCAGCGCCGGCACGAGCGCAACAACCTGCACGCCCGGCAAGAACTACATGCGCGAGATGCTCCAGGCCTGCGACTCGCTGCCCCTCAACATCGGCATCACCGGCAAGGGCAACGACTCCGCGCCCGAGGCCCTGCGCGATCAGGTCCTGGCCGGCGCCTGCGGCCTCAAGCTCCACGAGGACTGGGGCACCACGCCCGCGGCCATCGACACCTGCCTCAGCGTCTGCGACGAGCTCGACATCCAGTGCCTCATCCACACCGACACCCTCAACGAGTCCGGCTTCGTCGAGTCCACCATCAACGCCTTCGCCGGCCGCACCATCCACACGTACCACACCGAGGGCGCCGGCGGCGGCCACGCCCCGGACATCATCTCCGTGGTAGAGCACCCCAACGTGCTGCCCTCGTCCACGAATCCCACGCGGCCTTACACTCGTAACACCCTGGACGAGCACCTCGACATGCTCATGGTCTGCCACCACCTCTCCAAGAACATCCCCGAGGACGTCGCCTTCGCCGAGTCGCGCATTCGCGCCGAGACCATCGCCGCGGAGGACGTGCTCCACGACCTCGGCGCCATCAGCATGATGTCCTCCGACTCCCAAGCCATGGGCCGCTGCGGCGAGGTCGTCCTGCGCACCTGGAACACGGCGCACAAGAACAAGGTCCAGCGCGGGTTCCTGCCCGAGGACGAGGGCACCGGCGCAGATAACTTCCGCGTCAAGCGCTACGTGTCAAAGTACACCATCAACCCGGCCGTCGCGCAGGGCTTCGGCCATCTCGTCGGCAGCATCGAGGTCGGCAAGCTCGCCGATCTCGTCGTGTGGGACCCGGCGTGGTTCGGCACCAAGCCCACTCTCGTCATCAAGAGCGGTCTCATCGCGTCGGCGCAAATGGTAAGCCTCACCTCATCCTCACTCAACTTGGAACTGTAACTGACTCCCCACTCACCAGGGCGATCCAAACGCCTCGATCCCGACGGTGCAGCCCATCATCGCGCGGCCCATGTTCGCGCCCCTGGTCCCGCCGTCGTCCGTCCTCTTCGTCTCCGCCGCGTCCATCGAGTCGGGCGCCATCGCCTCCTACGGCCTCAAAAAGCGCGTCGAGGCCGTCCGCAACTGCCGCAACGTCGGCAAGAAGGACATGCGCTACAACGATAGCATGCCCAAGATGCGCGTCGACCCGGAGAGCTACGTCGTCGAGGCCGATGGCGAGGTCTGCCGCGCCGACCCGGCCGAGGAGCTGCCCTTGACGCAGGCCTTTTACGTGTACTAGAAAGAGAGAGAGAGAGACAGAGAGAAGAGGGGGAAAAGCAACGCAACGCAACGAAACGTAACGCGTATTTAACTTGGCAGCAGCAGTAGCATGGAGTCAATGGAGTAGCAAGGGAACTTGTAGTCGCCGGTGGGTTGGATGAGTAACACGGCATATTAATTGTTAAGCAAGTGAGGGGAAGAAGGGAGCACGCAAAGCACGTCGTTTGGTTTGGGAGAACATTGTTGGGGAAGTTGCCAAGCATGAGCATGGGAGTCTTAATGACATGGATACACGCAGTATGAATCAGCCAAAAAAGCAATATAACCTCTTTCCTTAACCTTGGCCGAGGAGCAGTGAGTTTAACATGACGCTTTTCATTTGAACGCACGCCTTAATCTTCAGCGAGAAGCGGTGAGATCACTTGACTACCTTATCTACTGCAGTTAGAACGACATGAAGAGCCCACATGGGTTAATAGTTCAGTCAATCAGCTCAAATCATTCCTCAACTACGGTGTTTGAAACATCGAAGTCACATGACATGAACGAGTAACGATCAATTCTTTGTTGATTCATGTCCGTCATAATACATACAGGACACCCAGAGGGGTTCAACGTATAAAAACAAATGCCGACCAGACCAGATCCCTGAAGCCGTCGATCCACCTCGCTCACCATAGCTTGAGCGTTTTGTATACCTCGCCTACCCTTAGAGATCCTTAACCACGCCTGTAAAAAATCATACACGCCATGCGCAAATGTGCGCAGCGATTCCAAGGACCCAAGCAGAAGTGGTCCTGTTCCCCAGTCCGGTCCTTTTGGCGCAACCGCCAACACTACGGGGCCACCAGAGGCCAGCAACGGACCGCGAGCAGTGAGGTATCATCTTTGCAAAAACCCAGAAACCCAGAAACCAGAAGAGAAGAAAAGCGAAAGGAAGACAACATTTAGTTCTTCTTCTTGCTGCGGCTCTTCTTGGCAGTGGCAGGCTCCTCAACGGCGTCGGCAGCCTTGGTTGATGTGCGGCGGCGCTTCTTGTCAGGGCTGGCGGGGGTTGTGGTGTTCTTAGCATCGGCCTCAGCGGCCGGAGTGGCAGTCTTGCGCTTGCGGGTGGAGGCGGGCTTCTTAGGGGTCTTGACGGGGGCGGGAGCCTCCTCCTCATCGTCATCCTCGCCGACGGCATCAACGGAAGCGCCCTGGGTGAGCTGGTCGGCAATAGCATCGTTCTCATCGGCAACAGCCTCAGAGGGAGCAATCTGGATGCTGTGCTCCTCGGCGTACTTCAGGGCAGCCTCGTCATCCATCAGCCTGGCATCCTGGTTGCCACCCTGCTTGTAGGCATGGACGCGGGCCTGGTACAGGCGCAGGTTGTACTGGTAAGCGTTGTTCCAGCCAGCCTTCTCGACAGGGTTCATGGCCTTCCAGCGGCGCTGGCCCTCCTCCTGGACAGCACCCTTGGGAGCCTGCTCACCAAGGTCGCTAGCAATGATGGGGCGGGCAGTCTGCATGTACAGGAAGTAGGGGGTCAAAGGACGCTTAGGAGCGTTGGGGTCGTGGGTGCGCTTCTTGCGCTCCTTCTTCTCCTCAACCGGGGCAGGCTGGTAGGGAGCGCCGGGTTGGAGAGCCAGGGCTGGCAGTCCCATGTTCTGGGCAACGGCATGCTCAAGGTTGAGAAGAGGAAGGTCAATGCCGGGAATGCCCTCGTTGGCAGGCTCGCCAAGAAGCAGGCTGGTCTGGCGGTAGTAGTCCTCAGAGAAGTTCTTAATGAGCTCAAGGATGGTGATGAGGCGCTGGTGGACCTGAACAGTATGGTCAGCATCATGTTTGAAGCAAGTCTCAGTGTGTATGAAAGTGAGCAATGAAGCTGTAGCTGAGCTTGAGAGCTTGTGTGGGTCGCAAGTGTAAAGCAAGACGCGGGTTTGACATGAGAACATGTAAACATCGGCGGTAGTGCGCCGCGCCTGGCGCAAAAAAGCAGCTTTGCGAGGGGCAGATAAGGCCTGCTCAATTGCGCGGACTTGGCATTCGCAGGGAAAATTGTGTGAAAATTGGGCACGGCACAGAGAAGAGGAGGAAAATTGTGCAAAAAAGCAGGATGCGCGCGTTGATCATGGGTGCAATGTTTTGATGCTGAGAACCAAAGCGCGTAGGCCATGCAAGGTGAAGCTGGGGCGGACTCGACTCCGGGGCGTTCTACCCGTTCTGGTGTCGGTCCTGGGACAGGGCAGGCCGAATATTCGGTGGGAGTGAATGGGCAGGACGTGGTAAAAATCCTCTTACCGAATCGCGGACGCGGATGAAACCCTCGACATCAATGTGCCTGTGAGGGATTTGGACGGGAGCAACAGGCTGAGCAGGAGCGACGGGGACGGCGGCGACGGGAGGCTTGGGGGCCTCGGCGGCGACCTTCTTGGATGGGCGGGGCATTGTGATGGTGTTTTTGGCGAGTGTTGTTTTTTAGGCCAGTGAGCGCTGTAGTGAAGATGCTTTGATGCGCGACGATGGTAGCGAAGCTCGCTGAAGAAGTTGGGGGCTGGTGGTGGAGGAGTTTGGGAGAGGTGCCTGGGAAAGTGAAGAAACGGGGGAAAAAAGAGGGAAGGGAAGGGAGGTCGGGGGAGGGCCTGAGCCGAATATGTAGTGCAGCCTGCCGGGGAGGGGGTAGCGAGTGATCTGGTGCACTCAGGTCTTGGGGGATGGGGGGGGCCGCAGGAGGGGGAAAAAAATTCGGGCAGGTGCGAGTCCGCCCAAATAAAATAAAAATTGGGAGTGACGGGCCTGCCGCTGGTAGTCAGCCTGGCCGCTACCCAGGGCTCCAGCCCAAAAGTGCAGCTGGGCCAGCTGTCCCGGTGTCCAGGCCTTCCGAACAGCAGCCCTTTTCTCCTCACTGCTCGTCCTCCCCCCGTCACTTCTGGGGAGCTGTCCTCTCTGGCACCCCATTACGAACCTTCTCTCGTTCAATCACATCATGCGACACGTAAAAAGTGCCTGACACCCCTGCAGCCCCCCGAGAGGCGGCATCCACCCAGGGCCTCTAATCAGTAAAAGACGAGAAAAAAATCCCTCGACCATCGCCCGATCGGTCTCTCGTCTGGCTCTGCTGCCCCAGCCAGCAGCAGTAGGCAATTGCTGATGCGCCGCCCCTCAGCATCGTGTTCTTTTTTTTTTTTTTTTTTTTTTTTGTGCACTTTCATTGTGAGCGACCCTCTCCACCTCTGGCACAGGGCAGCAATAGCACCACCTCGTGCTCAGCGAAATCTTTGCTTCAGCTCCCTTCAGCCCAGGTGTCCTAAAGCTCCCGGTTCCATTTTCTCAGAACGCACCCATTTACCGCAAACCTAAGTGTCCGTTTCTCAGCAGACTACAGTAAACAGCACCCAACTGCCCAGACGGCTAGCCACAATGAGGCCAGAACAGCACAAGCACACACAATCCAGGCCGCCTCAGACACCCTACACGATCACACCCCAACGCAGGGCCATTGAGAGGGCGAGGCTTGGTGCTGCAAGCTTTCCTCTACCGTACCCGCGGCCCGCCTGGCACTTCCCTTACCTCCCGGTCACCGCAAAAGGTAGGCAGGTACCTGCATCAGGTACCTACCGTGCCTGACTGAGGTGACTGGACTTCGCTGCTCTCGAGGTGCCGCCTAGGACCTAAACCTCCCGACCACCAAAGCCTTGTTGTGCCTTTGCTGTATCCTGCTATCGCCCAAGTTGCGACGCGTTGGCAATTGCTTCTTATTCTTGGGAGCAGCCGTATGGCTTTCTGGGCATTTACTAACTGTCCAGATCGATGCGAACACGTGCATCTCTCGTTCGTGGCCGTTGCGGATGTCTCAATCCTCTGGGCGCGCCCTCTATCCTGCTGGACCTCGATCTGATGCTCTGGCGATACCTGCACAGAACTTCCAGCGGAGTGGTAATGGTGACGGGATACTTTTCGTTGCGCCCAATTTTCTGGCGGGCGCCCACATTTCCTGCGTGTGCACCATCACACCTCAATTAGCGATGATGCCCTGTCGCCCAATGAGGGGCCCAGGATGGGGGCACTCGCTGTGGCTTCGCCTGAGGGGAACCGGAAAGAACAACAAGAAAAAAACAAACCCGAGCTGACCAGGGGTGCGAACACTCCTGTCGGCCTAGGTACTCCAGGAACCGTACCTGCTTCGGCGGGACTCTCTCTCTCTCTCTGGGCCGCCCAGCACATCCGAGGCACCTTGCCCATTAAAGCAGCAAGACCTCTGGCAGGTCAGTGTTGGGCGCCTGTCCCCGCCTGTGTGTGCCTGAACAGAGCGGCCGCCGTTGCAAGCGATGGGCTTCCCTCTCGTCTGACCTGAGGAACCTCTGAGGGACAGGGTGACGAGCTTCCTCGCCGTCGTCTGCGAGTCGAACACCCCCAAAGCCCCCGAGAAAATCCCTTGTTCTCCCGACCACCCCCGACAGCGGCCGACAGCGGCCACATTCTGAGGCCTTCCCCACTGTCCTGCTTATTGCTGCTGTGTTTTCCTCCCAAACTTCAGAGCTGAGGCCCCGTTATCGCACCACCAGGCTTCCACCCTTCGACCCGACCTGCTCGCTCGCGTCCCCAAGGCCTAAGGGCACACAAAGCAAGCTGTCCTCGTCGGCGGTTGCCTTATTCGAAGTCCCCTCAAAAGGCACAATTTTACTGAGGTGCCCTCCTGCCGAGGCGCTTTCCCTCGGCCCTCTCCTTCAGATGGCTCCTGGGTTAGGTACTCTCAGCGACGTACCCCATATTCAGTCGACTCAGGCCCAGCTGTCGCTGAATTGTTGAGAGCCTTGGGTCCGTCGATTCCCACGTCTGTTCTCCTCCCCGCCCTCTCTTATGTCGGGCCTGAGGGATCAGTGATCAGCCGGCAAAGAGAGAGGACCGCGTTGAAAGCGGGGTGCGTCAGAAGGCCGCCTGGAGAGTTTTCCAGCTCCCTCTCCGTCTCTCTTTCTCTGTAGACTCTGTAGATTTGCCGCTGATCCCATCCACACGTTCAGCGCCCTTCGTGCCTCCCTCCGAGTCTCAGCTGTGGTAGAACTTGTCCCTCCGTCCAGACTCTGCTCGCCCAGCGCCGACTTCTTACCCGATCGCTGTTCTTTTAGGGTCAACAGCGCCTCGCTTCACATGCCAACATTCCATTCAGAGGCGCCCCGTTCTGACCAGCAAAACCCAGCAATCTGCCTGTGACTTTGGTGACTGAACAATTCCTCTGCCATCGACGACCCGAGCCCCAAAGGCCTCCTGGGTAGCGCAGGCGTCTTCCACCACAGCCGTGTCGTCCTGTTCCATCCTCCTCAGTCGATGCCGTCGCAATTAGGTGGTCGTTCAACTGTCCAGCGCCCACCAGGGCTTCGGCATATCAACTGGACCTACCTTATCCAACTTGATCAAGACCTGTTCTCGCAAGTGGACGCTTCTTTTGACGTTCCCTATTAATGGAAGCCATGGCATGGTCCTTTTAACAGCGTCGAACTCGGCTTTGGGCAGCCCAGATTGCTGGCCGAAGCCAGCATCCCCTCTGTACAAAGGCACCTACCGTCCTCGCTTTACCATCTGTCTCACATCTCGCGTTCGCTCTCATTCACATTCGCATACGCCAGCTGTTCTCGAATCGACTCAAGCTTGCCAACTGCCTTCTTCCCCAGCGTACCTCATTGTAGGCATATGAGCCGTGATCAGGGCGCCAGCCGACAGCTCGGTCTAGGCATGCTCAGCAGGCTTGAGGTCCCGAATGTGCTCTGATCGAACAGATTGCGGTCTTTTTTGATCATCACTATCGTTGTATCTCCTGTAACCTGCGTAGGTGCTGCGATGTTAGAGTTATCTTGGTCAATACGGCTATCAGTAGAGGTGCAGGTGGTGGCAACGCGTACCCCTACACGCGTTGTTGTTCTACGCACATACTCTCCGCACAACGGCAACGCAATGCCGCAAGTGACCACCGCCTCGCTGGCCAGGCACAGCACATGGCTGTAACGGGCAGCCTGCCCCAAAGTGATGGAGGTGATGGCTTGCACTTTCACCGAGGCCACCGATTGGTCACCGAACTTCACCGAGCTAGGCTCTCAGCGCTGGCCTAGTGCATGCCTGATGCGACATCTTATCTACCTACTGCCTGCCTAAGTGCGTGTATTTCTCATCAGGCAGCGCTCATGATAGCAGGCTTTTGGGGGCGACCTCTGAGCAAAAAACCGGATATGTCCAAGACATTCGCCGATGCAGGACATAGATTTGCGCAGCCTACCACTCTGATGTTAGACGATGACACGCGTACTGCGTAAACAACAACCCTCCCAAAGACCATCTCCTCTGCACAGAGTTCAATGCTCAGATGAGCATGCTGCTGGTGATCTCCGTATCTAGCAGGGGCTATTATGGCCATTGGAAACTGAATCGCGCGCATGGCTCCTTGAGTTACTCTCAGAGGGCCGGTTGTTGAGGCGGCTGCGCGACCACGTTTTCTCGCTTACCTGCCCGAACCACAACATCGTGGCGCGAGCATTGTACCGAGCCACAGCGCGCCCCTCTGTAACGGCATGTCTCATGGCCCCATCTCTCGCGACGAGGGGCGGCTTCCACACACGCGTCGAGGACTGTTCCTGTCCAGTGAGGCGCGGTGAGCATATTCACTGTGGCATGTGTGATGAACCGACAGACTACGCATTTCAATGTTTCCGATAAGCACAGAGAGCCTGTCCAGTGTCGAGTATTGGTTGTGGTGTAACTTGGGTAGGGCACTTATGATGCAAGGCACGCCTCCTCTGTCGATGGTGGCTCTGGGAGGAAGCTGTGTAACGGTCGTTGTCTTGGACCGTGTTTGCGACCGAGGGAGCGAGAGTGAGTCTCTCTGCGTGGTGTTCAGGGCATTTTTTGTCACTTCCTAGCAAGACTTAAAGCTCAGTTCCGGATGTCGTCACTCCTCTCGACACGAGAGACCAGCGACGACGGCGACAGCCACGAGGCCGTCGATTACTGCATCGTTGGATGATGGTTAAAAGCGCCTATTGACTAGAGCTGTCAGCTAGCTCTCCGTGTGCGCACACAGTGAAGCATCGATGCACAGTGGAAGCTGGCAAAAGCTGCCCCTCCTCCCGTGACACCAGGTGAAAGCCCCCCTCCCATCCCCCTTCCCTTCCCTTCCCTGGGCAGTGGGAGCTGGCCTTGACCGCGCCGACCGTCTCATCCCGTTTTGAAACGCGACCCCCATCGGTTTTGATGGGGACCTCAGCTCGCTGGAGGCAGCCCATTGGCAGCGGGCCAACCCCGCGACCCTCCAACAGCCGCGATGAGGTAAAAGCACTGGTGGCATGCGGGCAGCGGTCGCCCTCTGCCGCCGCGCAGATGGCAGGCAGGCCCAGCACCCGACGACGCTAGGCACAAGACGAGAGATGGATGGACGTGACAGGGTTCGTGGCCATCCGAAG